GTATTTAACTTTTTATAATATGTCAACATCAAATGGATACATGAGAGTGACAAAAACATTTCCATAGTCATACGTAATTCTCTGCTTAAAGCAGTCTATTGTACGATTCAGACTATATAATGAGCATATTTCAAAAAGTGAGGATAGCAGGTGTTTGCGAGATGGTGAGCGTATATATCCTGCCCCACCGGTGGCACCCGCCACAAACACATGCAAAGTCACGTCAATCGTTCACCTAAAAAGAATTCATGGGAACATATAGTACAAGTCCAAATAGAGACTTGCATCAGACAATTTTTTTTATAATAGGACAAATAAATATGTCTTTGTTAGTGTGCACAGCTATAAAAACGTGCGCATTTAAATATTTCCCTCAAATTGTAAAGTGAAGAGACATTCCATTGGTGACGTCATACTTTGCTATCCATTGTGACGTCCCGCATCAAGGTTACAATTTCGTCATTGTCTAAAGAACGCTGTGGCTGTACCCAAACTCACTTTTTGACGTAAACAATACATGACTTGTAAAATAGGACTTAATTCACTTTTTGTAGGGTATATTACGCGGTTTATTAGACGATATATTTTCTTCAACCCGTGAAGATCCGGGTAAGAATCTTCAACAACCCATGATGTCGTAACAGGCGACCAACGGGATCGGGTGGTCAGGCTCGCTGACGTGGTTAATGCATGTCATCGTAACCCAATTGCGTGGATCGATGCTCATGATATCAATCATTGCCTTGTCTGGTCCAGACTCGATAATTTACAGACCTCCGTCATGTAGCTCCAATATTGCTGAATGCAGCGTTAAACAAACAAACACATATAAATAAACAAACAAACAAACAAAGTCAGTGATTCATTGCTTTATCATTTCATATAGACTAACTTAAACTGACTCGTTATAGGAATCCCGAGGGGCGGTCGGGTAGCCTAGTGGTTAAAGCGTTCGCTAGTCACGCCGAAGACCGGGTTCGATTCCCGACATGGGTACAATGTCTGAAGCCTATTTCTGGTGTCCCCTGCCGTGATATTGCTGGAGTATTGTTAAAAGCGGCGTGAAACGATACTCACTCACTCACTCACTAAAGGAATTCCGATAGTCAACAGTTCCATAATACCAAAACAAAAATATCATGTTTACAACATCGGTCATTAATTAACTAGATTCGGATAACCTGAGAAATAATGAAACACCCACGACCACCAACACAAGGCAGGAGGTGTTTACTTTCACCATTCCGTGACAATATGACATTATAATTATTCTGTGTAACCGAGACATGCTATTGGTGCCAATCTATCAGGATTAACTTATCCCAAGAGAATCGTTAGGGTAACTGTGACCGTGATTCTAGCATGTGTTCGTGACAGTTGAGCGAATCTGGTACTGAAATATAGTGCCATAGCATGTTTATTTCACATGAAATAAACATATATGAATATAAACGTACTCATTCTGTCAACATTGGTTTGTTACCTTACAGGTTTAGTAGAGATGTCTGAAGCGAGCTGAAATGGGTCGAAACGTTGCGTTCAAGATTATTTCACTTATACAGGGACGTGTGGCTGCTTGTAGTAGTCAGTTGTTTTATAGTTCTATCCCATTGAGACACAGAGCAGCAGTTTAACATGGACACCAATTATTTAATTCCCTTAATGCTTAGCTCCAGGCAGGGCAACACCAAGTACCCTTTTTCAACGTCTTTTGGTATGGGGCGGCCAAGGAATCGAACTATCGACATTCCGCTCTTCGGTCAGACACTCGCCCCCCTTACACCACGGAGGCGTTTAAACATGAAATTGAAGTGAATATCTTTGACCTACGCCTTAAGCACATCAGGAAGAATTCGCGATCTGTGCCCAGTGGAGTAGGTAAAGACGTATTACATCTGGAGCCTCGGTAATCGGGTGACGGATTGGTCGGTTTGGTCCGGTTTGATGAGGATCCGAGAGGTGTTAGTAGTATTTAAAAGTATGGAATAATCGGAAATGATTTGTAAAATTGTAAGAAATATTAGTTTCTAGTATAAGTTATGTGATAATGATGAACGAATTACAACCAGTAGTGAAGAATGCCAGTCGATGCTATGACCGTCAACGATTCGGGTAAGATGAGAAATTTTAAAGTTGACGTTTTTGGATCAGTCGTGCGTGATACCGTCACGATTTGTCAAACATTCCTCTTGCAGTGCCGGGGGCACGGGTGGCCAAGTCGTCTAAGGCGCCGCGATTCGCTGTGCAGAGTTGCGTCCCTTGGGCACGCCAGATCGGGGTTCGAATCCCGGTTCGCCCCGATTATGTCTCTAGGTTTGTCAGCACCATACTCGTGCTCGTGGGTTTCACCAAAGTGGTAAACGCCTGAGACCTGCATCACTTCGGGCTTTCCTCTCACATTAAGCTGACACGCCGTGATATAACTGGAATAATGTTAAAAGCGGCGTTAAACCCAACTCATTCACTCACTCTTGCAGTGCCTGTCCAAGTTCATCTAACGTGGTCGGTGGCCCATGGCGTTGACGTACACGTCTCTCTATCATGTGGCATGTAGGGTGAAGGTCTGGGCTTATTGCTGGTCAAAGCATTCCATGGTTGTTGTGCTGCTGGAGGTGAGCACTGACGATTCGTGCACGGTGAGCACGGTCATTGTCGTCCGGCACTATGACGTTTTGTAAGGGTGGCATAACACGTGGCCGTCGTGCATGGAGGTGAGTTGCATGAATATAAACCCTAATATGTCAATGCTTTAGTCTTAATTTTCGCATTTTATAAAATTATATCAATCTACATATAGGTTTCGCATAAGTTTTTACATCTAAAATCGTGTGGGACGGGTGGTTTTAATAATTGAATTTTAACTATACAGTGTAGTATTTATTGACTTAATAAGAAAATACGTGTGATCAAATATTTGTATACAATATCTAATATTTTTCTTGCAAAAGTAATTGTAATTTGTTTCGTTTTAAATTCAATACCTATGTTATCTATATCCTCTTGAAAGACAAATATTTGATAAAAAGTGATTAAAAACTGTCTGTTGAACAATTGCATTCTTTAAAAAACAGGTGATAAACGGCATATAGATGTATTCCATTTAATATAACAATTTACTGAAATTTTGACAGCAAAAGTTAAGCACAGATTTTCGTATCGACTTATCAAATAAAAAATGGGTTCCTATGCTCGTTCGGGTTCTCGTCAAAAAGTAGCATAGTTTGCACATTGTCCAAAATTCACTTTCCAATATATGTTCGCAGAAAAAAAGCTTATTGAATGAAATTTACTGATCAATATAAAATACACATTTTCAACACAATAATGTTTGCATTCAATAAACCGGGTTTTAAATCATAAGAACAAAACGTCTACATGTAGGATTGTACAGAATTTCATGTGCATGTTAAACAATGTGACCTGACAATGTGGTCATGAATTCCCTGTCACTCATATATGTTGTTGTTATTGTCAGCAGCTGGGAAATCCCAGTGACGTCATTGGGAAAACACCCCGCTTTTCTATCTCTCACACAAATGAGTTCTCTGTCAGAGTTACGATAGGTATCGTAACTCTGAACGATCTGCGACAGGTTTACGGTAGTTTCGAAAATCTATCTTATCTTAACCTTAAGATATCTTATCTTTGAACGTAAGTTGTTATTATTTATCTCAGCTAAGATCGTTTCGAAAATCTAGGCCCTGACCCGTAACTCGTACTCCAGTAGCCTGATGAAAGTTTGCCGCATTCGCCGTTTGAGATCAAGCTTGATTACGATAAACCAGAAGTTTGTATTCATAAAGTGGTACGTTTTCTTACCAGATTTATAATTAGTAAATTTCTGATTTCCGAGAAGTTCACTTTTGTCGTTGCAATATCAACAACGACAAATAAGTTTCTGGAGTAATTAGGATACGCTGATCGTGAGTTAGAATCTCTGGTTCGCCCTGGTAATGATCTTTTGTCTGCTTGGTACCATACCTGTACTACTGGGTTATACCAACCTGGAACATGTCTACACGTTTGATGAATTTGGGCTTTCCTTCCACGCCAGGCCGACAAAACTGAACAACTCAAAGTGGCGTTAAACAAAACGCATTCACTGAACCTGATCATTATTAATAAGGTCAAATATATTTCAACTTTTTCACATTTGTCATAAATTGACATGTTCTCCAAAGGTCCAACCCCCTTCCTTACCGTTCGAAGATTGTGAAAATAATTATCATTAGCCTTTGGGAATATATATAGTAATTGTCAGGTTGGAGAATTCGTAGACACTAAGACAGCCTAATGTGAAGGTTTATTGCGTAAGGCTTTCTTGTGATTTGATTTTAAATGTTAACTGACTGTAACCTTTTCATGATGTAATATAAAAGACAATTCTCTTTGTGATAGACAAGAGTGCATAAAGAGGACAAGATGTTTAATCGTAGGTCAAAACACGTATCGATAATAATTTTATTTAATTATCAGATAGGCTCAGTGACCGGGATTCGAACCCACAATCATAGGTTTCTGGCGTGCCCAAGGGACGCAACTCTGCACAGCGAATCGCGGCGCCTTAGACGACTGGGCCACCCGTGCCCCCTCGAGTATTAGCAGACCGCCATAAAATACTGAAATACTATAATTTAAAGCTGCCTTAAAACCAACTCACACACTCATTCCTCTGTTATATAAAAAACACACTTAAAATGGGCTCTTCCTAAGGCTCCCATCTCTGAATCCGTTACCTCTGGCCACGTCATTCCCAAAGACGTGAAAAAGGTTGTCCTTGTTGTTTGGGGGATTTATCGGCACAAACTCAGTATACTGAGTTGGGTATCCATGTTTAACTGCAGCACGATATCTTCCTGGGCTTGGACTATGACAAGGGTAAGTCCGGATACGTACAAGCAGACACACGCGCATGCACGTCGCTACAAAAGGGAAATAATCGGAAACGCGAAGTTAAATCCCATTTAACCACACCTCACAGAACCTGTTGTATTTTTCAGCGTCTTTGGCTGGGGTCATCGTTGGATGTTTGTTGTCCGCCATCATGGTCGTGTTTATGACACTGCTGGCGTGGCGCATCTGTCGCCGAAAGCGGAACAAGGCCAGTACATATGAACAGATAATGACGGACCACCGGAACCAACAAGTAGCCAATGAAAACGGAGGAATAATCGCCACCGCTGTCAGGTAGGAGAACAACCAATGACGCATTATGTCGCCATCTATGTTGTCAGCGCCATCAAGCGGCTGGTAGTAGGCACATGGCTTCGACCTGTATCTGCTTCCCTCGTGTAATGGTCGGACCATGTCATATTTCGGGTTGGATGTTGGGGCTGGGGGCTGGGACTGGGGCTGGGGCTGGGGCTGGGGCTGGGGGCTGGGGGCTGGGGGCTGGGGCTGGGGCTTGGGGCGTTATATGCTTCGGTTATTTTATGTTCAGAAAACATCAGGTATGTGACAAAAATTATGTCCGCGATTCCCTATTTTGACTTGTACCATATGTTCCCGTCCTTTTTGTGGTGAACAATTGACTTGCCTTTGTATGTATTTGTGACGGGTTGCACCGGTTGGGCAGGATACGCTCACCTTTTCGCGAACACCTGGTATGATTACTATTTGCTAGTGATTCTGAACACATGCTTAATCGTACAATCGACTCTGCCTTATGCAGAGATTTCTATTGGATGTAGAAAGGGTTTTGTCTCTGTATTAATAGTAGTAGTAGTGGCAGTAGTATTAGTATTATAAAACCCAGCGACTCAATTTAAATATGTAGTGGATATGTGGCATACCATTACCAAGGTATGGGTAGATAAGTATTGGTAAAAGATGAATTTCTCATCTGCTTTCACACAGGCAGGTGTATCATTGTGATGATTGATCGTGACGTCATGACGACGTGCCCCACGTCATTGTATTTTCCTATACCATTATTCATCAGTTCATCTGAATAAATTAAAAACGTTAAAGCCAGAGAATAATCAGTCTCGACTGTCTGTTTAGTGAGTGAGTGTGTTTATTTAACGCCGCTTTTAACATTATTACAGTTATATCGCGGCGTGTCAGCTTAATGTGAGAGGAAAGCCCGAAGTGATGCAGGTCTCAGACGTTTACCACTTCGGTGAAACCCACGAACACGGGTATGGTGCTGACAAACCTAGAAACATAATCAGGGCGAACCGAGATTCGAACCTAGAATGTCTGTTTAAACTGATTGTTAAAGCCAACTGTGTCCATTTCCATCGACAGAAAAACCTGGTCACTTTGGTGCCTGCTGAAATATGCTGCCTGATTATGTATTTGGTTCAAAGCATAGGCAGACATATATAATTACCTTAATGCATGTAAACTGTAAAGAGTTCATTATACACTCTATACAGTTAGGCTCATAACTTTTCAGACACCCCTTGTACAATGTATGACCCAAATATTGCTTTTTTACAGTGTTTCTGTGTTGTTTGCAATTAGGATCGCCATTGATGCTATTCTACTTTAACGACTGTGTCGTTGTAAACCGTTTAGTGAGGGAGAGAGAGTGAATGTGTTTAGTTTACGATATTTGTGGACAATATACATATGCCAGCTTAGTGTGGAACTAAATTAATGTACGGAAGGTAGACGTTAACAACTGTTATACGAAACTTTGCTGACAAACCAAGTATCACATTCGGAACAGATTTGGGATTCGAACCAACGACTGTCCTAGCACGGTTAACAAAATATGATATTTTTAGAGTGATGAAGATATACATATATTCTGTATGATCCAAAGATATGTTGTTTGTTATTAATAACGTTACTTAAATTAAAAGTCAAACCTTCAGACAAAACTGTGTGCAGAGTATTTTAATGTTTTCTCTTGTAACAAGAAACGAATGCCTTTTGAATAACGATCTGAGAAAGCATGCAATCTCCGACGGCCAATGCTGTAGGGTGTACATGTATTATGGTCACATCTTGTGCTCCCGGGCCTACTGACTTGGTATGATCAACTGTAACCTACATATGTGTTCATACATGGATCTTGAAGGACCTCCATGCTGCGATGTCAATCTGAGAGGACACATGCCTTCCTGCTCCTTTAATCCCGTTAGACACCGCGGCGTGCCTGTCAGGGGAACTTAGTGCCTGGAGATTGCATTACAATGGTGTAAGAGCGATATGTCATCCACATGAAGTCCTACTGCTTATTATTTAGAAATCAATTTTATTTTGATGTCACTGATATGTGTATTGAAATATTCTTGAGACCAACGAGTGACTCTGATTATTTAACTTGTGCATGTAACTCGGCTGTTAGGATCTTCACCTCGGTCGCGATAATTTCGCGCCGCAGTTGTAATCGGTATGATATTTGTTTGACTAGAAGTGAACCAGCAATCGTGTCACAAACCGGGACGGGACAAGTTGCTTTGCATAGTAGTGTGAGTGAGTGAGTATGGGTTCACGCCGCTGTTAGCAATATTCCAGAAATATCACGACGGGGGACGCCAGAAATGGGCTTCACACATTGTACCATAGATGTGTGGTGGGATGCTCTTTGCGTGGACCTCTAATGAATCTTGTCATTGTTATGTGGTGTTCAAATGCTGACAAAAGTATGTTGTCTTACCTGTGGTAATTTGCACAGAATAATGTCACAGAGTTAAGCACAAAATACACATCTAACACGTAAAATATGACTATCACTCATAGTATCAACGTTAAACCACACATACACCAGCGCACAAATTCATACTTTGCAGTATTTGCAGTACTCAACACTATGGATGAATTGTTTAGACAAGCAACTGCCTATGAATTGTATCATGATCAGTTGCAACATATTGTGTTTCAAAACATTTTCACATTAGGTTGTAATCGAGCGTTTGCTTCAAGCGCTACTTTTATCAGTGCTATTTTGCCTTTCACCAGTGTATAAAGTTTCCCCAGAGAGACAGAGAGAGAGAGAGAGAGAGAGAGAGAGAGAGAGAGAGAGAGAGAGAGAGAGAGGAATGAAGGCATGGAGGTCTAACCATTACGAAACGCATCACAAATCGTGATGTTGCTTGTTGACGACATTGATAATATCAGCTTTTAAGTCCGATCAAATACCTAAATAGGACCCAGTCTCACGATTCTCATTGTTAACCTTTTCCGTCAGTGTCGAATCGACAGCTATTTTTGAATGCTTAAAGCACATTACAATTAATGTTAAACGAAATGTAAAGACGTTTACAAAATGAACAGATAAATCTGACCGTAAAACTAAATTTGCAAAAGATCGTGATTAGACGTGTCATTGACTGTGAAATTGTTTGTTTCTCTTCCTTAGATTCTCCTTGTCTTTCGATTCATCACCGTGGTGCAGCCGAGAGAGAGAGAGAGAGAGAGAGAGAGAATTACTGATAGAGAGAGAATTACTGATAGAGAGAATTACTGATAGAGAGAGAATGACTGATAAGTTATGTATGTATGTATGGATGGATGGATGGATAATTCACTCCAGGACATACGTGTAAATGTAGGAATCGCTGGATTCTACCCAACCCTCACATTGACAATAGCCTTTGCTCTTACCAAATTTCAGTTTCATGTTTTACCGAGATTAGAGAAACAGAGCGGTTGATTTAGAACCTCCCGTTAACATTTACTTTGATGCTCAGTGGTGCCATTATAAAATTCACAGATCAACGTATAAACGAGTGCTATCATTTAAGGTATAACAAAACTGCTAATGCAGGACTTGGGGAATCAAAAGTACAAATTGAAGTAATTTTTATAATTGCTCCATAACAATGTTTCATTAATGCGGACATTGGTTTAACCGGACTTTAATGTCACGAGGCTATCCGGTATACCAGGGTTTTACTGTAAGATTTCAAATCCAGTATTCGTCTAGTCTTCTCTTAACCGGGTATGTCAACAAGACATTGCTTAACCAGATTGGAGAGGTATACTTGGCTCCTGTATGGCTACGCTGTGTAACTAAATGTTTCATGCAAGATAGGATTGGCCACAAGTGGGTGTTGATGAAATGTCATACATTGAAAGTAGACCGAAATGGCGGATACATATCACGACAGTGATGTTTATACTCATGACCTTTCAACGCAATGCGAATCACGTCGCCGCAGAAAGTATTGAAAAGACATGAAATTGAAGGGAAAAGCCGAGACAGTAAAATGACAAAGTTGAAAAGACAAGGTACATAGGCATTTGAACCTAGCTTCCGTTTGTATACGTCTAATGTATTACATTTGAAACTTTACAAAAAATGACGTATTTGAAATCATGTATGGAGTGATGAAGAGCGTGTTTTATAAAGTTTTACGAAATTAGTAAATCACCCTCCGCAATTAAAATATAAGTCATATTAATCTGGTAACAAGACACCCAAACCATGTTTGAAAAAGTATTAGAATTTTTAAAAAATAATGCAATAATGGAGCGCATTGTTGTGAAGAATCTGATATACCTTAAAAGATCAGTAAACGAACGTGTCTCCTGCGAGGTACGACTTTGTTTTCACATGTGTATATAAATATATTGTAACTGGTTTAGATACAATGGTACTAGCCATTGCCAGTGTGTTTGATATACTAGTACTCTATTAGAACTGTTTTTAAACGCTTGATGTTTAAAAGCAAATTGGTAAAAAAATATCAGTGAAAACTTGTTAACGTTATATCCATTGACATTACTTTGGAGTTGATGGTGTTTGGGAATATCTTAGGAGATAAAGCGTTCTCTTGTAACGCCAAAGTACAAGGTTTGATTTGTACATGTGCCAATGGGCACATGTATTGTTTCCCGCATTTGTGGAAACGTTTAATTGTTTGATTGTTTTACGTCAATAGTCCATCTGTCATGTCATGACTGCCACTAAATAATCGAATCGTGGCCAGATGGTTGAAAGCATGATCAATGACATGGACATTCAGGGTATGTAGGCACGATCAACCAAGTCACGGAACCTGACCATCCGCTCTCCATTGTAGTCGGTTCCTGCGAACATATCTACCGTTAAGTTATGTAATACTGCTACAAACGCAGAGAGTAATATTTGGTGCAATAATCTTGAATGAGAACAGAACAGCGATATGAGACACAAGCATCCCATCAGCTAGCCGGGTGTCAATAACGTAAGCGATCTAGAAAAACAACACAAGATTTTCAGTGATGAATTTACATCTTTATCATTTCCC